TTTAAGACGGGTGGACTTCAACTCCCAGGATTCCCCAGCCAGCAATCCTGGGAGTTGAAGTCCACCCGTCTTAAAGTTGCCAAGTTTGAAAAACACCACTTTAGAACGACCATTCCAAAAAAATCAAGGTGATATGCAACAGTTTGGCTGGCTGTGAATTCTGTGAGCAGTTGTCCAGGTACATCTGGAGAACATCAAATTGGGAACATGCTGATATAAATATTACCCCTACCAACCAAAGTAGGTATGTTAATTGCATAGGGTCTATAGCAGATGGACAGGGAGAAGTTAGCCTTTTCACTGTCTTTATTTCGGCCCTGATAAAATTGACCTCCCTGGGGCTCCTCTTTGAACAGGGACAGGAATCTCCACTGCAATGGCTCTTGAAAGAGGATGTGGCAAGACTAAGGGCTGATTCCAGTTTTAAACCACCTTCCTCCACTAAAGTAGCGTCCATGATGGTTTCCAGGCTGTGTCCCATCCAGAGAAGGATTAGAGATGTGCTTAATTTCTGCAAGGCTGCTGTATCCATCGTGTGTTTTCAGGTCCAGTTTGGAGGCCACCGTTTCTCCATTTGGGATTTTCTTCTTTCTTTTTTTGCAGGCGGGACAGAGAGGAGACCCCGGACCTAAAGGAGCCCCGGGCCCCAATGGAACTGTTGGAATGCCAGGAATTCCAGGCCATCCAGGCAAAATGGGTTTACAAGGAGAGCAAGGAATCCCTGGGGTTGTTGGGAAACCAGGCTCTCCGGTAAGAAATCTGGATATCTCCTTGTGCAATTGTATGTTGGTCCTTGTCTGCCCCCCTTTTTTCTCCTATTCCAGTTTAAAACTCCTTTTCATTGTGCTATTCCTAATATCTGGCCTATTGCTCAACTGAAGACTTCTAACAGACCGCCCCACATTTCTGACATGGTGGGATTTCTTGTAGAGCCACCATTGTATCTGGAGGCCCTTTGACTTGACTAGCCAGGATGGGAGATGTGGGTGAGTTCAAAGAATGAGTAGGCTGCAGACGCCCAGCCCATGTTGGCTGATGGCTAGCCAGCATCCAGCAAGCATCTGAATTTCAGTCTACCTTCTAAAGAGAAAGCCCCTTGTCACATAGAAAGGAGAGATATCTTTGGTATGAAATGTATTGTTCCAAAGCAATAAATGTTGCAGTCTTGTGTTCTGCAATAAAGCCAGATTAGTTTTTTTTTTAAGTACATAGAAAGAAAACAGTGAATACTTCCGTCCACAGATGCTCAGAGGAGATCCTGATTTAATTATTTATTTGTGTCTGTATCTGCATGCCATTTATTTTCCACCTCCCTTCTGGGATCTGAAGATGACATATGTAAGGATTTTTCTCTTGGTTGAGCTGAGGACTTGAGAGACCCATACCATCTGTTATGAAAGGTCACTGGATGACTTTGGGTCAGTCATTCTTATTCTAACCTAGCTTACAATGTTATTGTTATTGGAAAAAGTGAGTGGTGGGAAAGTTAAGTATGCTCCTGAAGAAAAGATGGAATATAAATCTGAAGAATAAATAAATAAATCAAACCTAGTAAGGGCTGAAAGATTGTGACTGGTCCAGAGGGAGCTCCACAGTGAGGCATCATGAAGTTGGAAGCTAAGTTGCAACTCTGGGATTGAAAGTCATAAAACATCTGGGGGACGCTAAGTTGGGGAAGGATGCAGGAGAATTTCATAATGAGACCACAACTCTTACAAAGGTCTGGATCTCAAAATTCCATTGCATAATTTTAGGGAAAAGAAGCTAGTGAGGAACGCATACGAGAGCTCTGTGATGGCATGATCAGTGGTGAGTACAAGCGCAGCTTCCTGGGCAAGAAAATAATGCTGTTTTGTTAAATGGATTGTCAGTGACAAGTCCTACAACCTGAGCAAATCCTTCAAGAGAGATGTTTCCTGAAGCAACAAGGTTAGGCTGCTGAGACAGCTGGGACTCTGGGAACAGCTTCCGAAGCTGTGGTGCAAACCTGAAAAAAGACATCGCTGTTTTAATGATGTAACAAAAAGGCTGCTTACAGGTCCCCAGGCATTACAAAGCATCTCTTTCAAAGATTGTGGTTTTTTTAAATAACTTTTAATCATGTATTTATTATTTTAATTTGATGTAAGCCGCCCAGAGTCCCCCATTGTGGGGAGATGGGCGGGGACAAGTTTACTAAATAAATAAATTAAATAAATTTTGCACAACTGTAATAAGAATAGAAGACTTGCTTTTCTTAATGCATCCTTCAAACCCAATATTATTGACTTTGGCTGTGGCTCCCTAGGGCTTCGGAAGGGAATTTTTTCTAGGTCTGGACTCTGATATTTTTGAACTGCATAATTCAGGGATCAAATTTCAGACCTTGGGGATGCTTTGAATTTCTAAATATAGGCCTAACTTTTGTTTAAGATTACACTTTAAAAAATGAATAAGGCAACGTGTTTAGTTTTATTGACTTGATGTCCTGCTTACTGGCCTTCAACTAGGGTTTGACTGTGGGAAACAGGAATCTGACATTTCTGAGTAAGTACATGAGATACTGTAATAAGAATGGTTTAAAAGAAGAATTCATCACTTGGGCACTTTAGAGATACTGTTTTAGATTCCATTTGGGAGGAATGAGAACTAAGACAGTTTCAAATTCAACTATACTGTATATTGGGTGACCAAGCTGACACCAACTGTATTATTTGCATAATACATCCATACTTACATGCTGTGATGGAATGGAATGGAATTATGAAGGCCAAGCTCAGGGAGACAAACATTTTCTTAGCTCACCAGAACCGCGTGGGAGGAATAAGAG